AAAAAAAAAAAAAAAAAAAAAAAAAAAAAAAAAAAAAAAAAAAAAAGAAAGAAAATATAATTAAATATGTTTAAAATCTCAAGGTTAGAGAAAGACTTTCTGAGCAAGATTTCAAAGACAGAAACCAAGCACTTTGGGAGGCCAAGGCAGGCAGATCACAAGGTCAGGAGTTCGAGACCAGCCTGGCCAATATGGTGAAACTCCATCTATACTCAAAATACAAAAATTAGCCAGGCATGGTGGCATGTGCCTATAGTCCCAGCTACTCAGGAGGCTGAGGCAGAAGAATCGCTTGAACCCAGGAGGCGGAGGTTGCAGTGAACTGAGATCACGCCACTGCACTCTACCTAGGTGACAGAGCAATACTCCATCTCAAAAAAATAAAAAAGACAGAAACCATAAAAGGAAAGACTGCCAAGTTTAACTATCGCTGCTTTTTCACTGGGGGTTGATTGACAGTAGGGGAGGGAGCCTTGAACAAAATGAAAATGTAAATTACAAAAATATAACCCAAAAAAAAATACTGTAAAGCTTCTACAAACTAAAGGAAAAAAAACAGCCACTCCAATAAAAGTTAGCAAATAATTCAAAAGGCAATTTACAGAAAAAGTTTATGATAAATGGTCAAAAGACTTACCACAGAAGAGATACAAATATAAAACAAAATATCAATTTCTGTCTATCCAAATAACAGTTTTAAAAGTTTTAAAATATTCAGTATTAGAACAGAAAACGACCTGGGCACAGTGGCTCACACCTGTAATCCTAGCACTTTGGGAGGCCAAGGCAGGCAGACTACCTGAGCTAAAAAGTTCAAGACCAGCCTAGGCAACATGGTAAAACACCATCTCTACTAAAACACAAAAAAACTAGCTGGATGCGCTGGCAGGCACCTATAATCCCAGCTATTCAGGAGGCTGAGGCAGGAGAATCGCTTGAACGCAGAACTGCTTGAACCCAGGAGGAAGAGGTTGCAGTGAGCCGAGATCTTTCCTGCGCACTCCAGCCTGGGCAACAGAGCAAGGCTACGTTTCAAAAGAAAAAAAAAGAGAGAGAAGAGAGAATAGAAAACTGGCACCATCCAGTATCTGACTACTGGCATATGTCTAAAGTTGGTACAACACTAGTAACATACACAAATGTTTAACATGTACACACTGTCACAGCAATTTCACTTTTAATCGTCTATTCTGAAAATGGATATTCATCACTGTACAGTTTATAATAAAGAAAACCCAAAAAGGCTAACTATCCAACCAAAGCCATTGTAACACAAAACCATTAAAACTAACACTATAAATTAGATCTACAATTGTTGATATGGAAAGCAGAACATGATCTTATGTTAGAACATATACTGAAATATTAATCACCTCTGATTAAAATGACTACAGAGCAACAGGAAATGTAAATATGAAATTGCCAAAAAAGGATTATTAATCCCCTGATAAACTAAGAAAACTTTTTCAATTATATGGTAAAATCATTTCAATATATTTAAACAAAATACGAAGATATAACAGAAATGAAAAAAAAATCAATAATGAAATAACATTTAACTTGGGTCTGCATCTACATCATATTTTATCCTCCGCTCCAAAAATAAACTCCAATTTTCAACACAGTACATGATCTTCAGCTTTATCACACTCCTACTTTGTCCCCAAATCTCCAACAATGACCAGAGGGTCTTACTGCAAACTTCTCCTTTTACAAAATATGACGCATTATATAGATCATCTGTAGTCTTTCCGAGGAAAGTACATGTGTCTACCTGTGTATGTGCACAAACGTGCACGATCCAGAAAATGGATGAAACTCAAAGGTCAAAGACATTCTAGATCAACTAAGAGTATGTATGATCTAAATTTCGCACTAAAAAGCAATTCGCAGAGAAAAATTCAACTTAAAAAAGGCAGGAGTTTGTGTGCATCTCAGACAGCCAGTCAGAAAGAGCATGTAAGGATAATAAGAAATCTCAAAACTCTTACTGGATAATTGATTAAGATTAAGGTAGGTTGTATTATTCTAAATAACCATACCTATCCAAAAAACCACACAGTTTTATCTCTCAATTAATACTCACTGTATTCTAGCTTCTTTCTCTTCTTTTTCTCTTTCAGTTGTTCCTCCTCCTCCCTGACTCCTTCTTCTTCTTCCCTTGCCTCCTCTCCCAGAGTATCATAAACTATTGGATCTCGATGAGCAGCCTTCCTCTGAAAATGCTTAGTTTTGGATCCTCCTTTAACAAGTACAACTTTTCTTTTCAAACAAGTGCAACCAAACATGCAGTCTGGTCGGCGGCAGTGAGCAGGTTGGCGCTTCTCCAAAGCTAGACTGGAACATACACAACCCAGTCGACAGAAGTCATTGTTGCATGGAGGGGCTCGTTTCCTTATAATTGTGTGGATAGGTTTAGTTTTGAGAGATGCCTAAAGTCAAAGCAGAAAATTGTAATTCCACTAAACTGTCCCCCAATACCACCAACAAATTATAGTCATATACTGGATTGCCTTACTCTCTGATTTTAAGTACTAATAGCACAAGACTAATGCAGATTCAAAGGACATGAATATAACCAGGGCTGTAAACAATCTGCCATTCCAATGCTTAGTACAGACAATTATGAGCAAAATTATCAAGGATGGATTTATTTTCAATATAAATCATACCTAATGTTCTAAGGCAAAGATTAACAAAGGTTGAGACCGACGGGCCAAATCCAGCCTGTTTCATAAAGTTTCACTGGAAAGGCTAATTCATACACATACTGTCTGAAGAACTACAATAGCAGAGTTCAGTAACTGCTATACAGAACACATAGTCTGCAAAACCTTAAATATTCTATCTGGCCCTTTACAGAAAAAGTTTGCTGATCCTTATTCTAGGGTAATTAATTTAAAAAAAGAATAGGATAATACACAAATAAAAGTCTTTATGAAGGATTAATAAATAAAAAACAATATGCATTTAGTTCCAACATCTGATCATCTTCCATTCCAGAATTCAGTCATAGAATTACAAAATGGAAAGCCCAAAAACTCATGACAAAGGCCAGGTGCAGTGGCTCATGCCTGTAATCCTAGCACTTTGGGAGGCCGAGGTGGATGGATAGCTCGAGCCCAGGAGTTTGAGACCAGTCTGGTTAACATGGCAAAACCCCCTCTCTACTAAAAATACAAAAGATTAGCCAGGTGTGGTGGTACGCACCTATAGGCCCAATTACTTAGAAGGCTGAGGTGGGAAGATTGCAATAAGCTGTGATCATGCCACTGTACTCCAGCCTGGGCAACAAGAGTGAGACTTTGTCTCAAAAATAATAAATAAATAAATAAACATGCTGTGGTATCATTTCACATGCTTCAGAGGCTGCTAAGATAGATATATCAATCAATTGATCAAAAATTACTTCCTTAGGCCAGGCGCAGTGGCTCAAGCCTGTAATCCCAGCACTTTGGGAGGCCGAGG